GGAATTTTAAGAGAGAGAGAGAGAGAGAGAGAGAGAAAGAGAGAGAGAGAGAGAGAGAGAAAGTGAGAAACTAGAGATAAAAGCAGGAAAGACCCTGAGCAAAACATGACCAGCACCATCATGTAACACATGCACTGTCAAACGTTAGTTATTTGAATGGATTCAGGGGCAAGGAGTCAATTTAGAAAGTAGAGATCTGGCAGGAATGGTTTTAAGACGAAGAATACACATGTGTGTTGGATGGATGGGCACATGACCTAGTTTTGGATAAATGAAGCTAAGAATGGTTTACAATTTGTGCGAGTCTGTTTCCAGCTAGGCTGAGAGGCAATCTGAAACTGTGCTATCAATTAGGGACACATTGATGGATTATATACAGTCTAAGGCTGGACATCTTACAGATGTAAATATCAGACATGTGATAGCCTACAAAGCACATTAATTCTGCTCTGAAAAGGGGCATGAGCTGGAGAGGCGGGAAAAGGGGAGCTCTGCGGTCACCCTCCACCATCTCCCACTCCTCTCGTATTACAAATGAGTGCTCAAGAATGTGGACTTTGGGATGCAGCCACTGCCTGGTGAAATGTCACAAAACTTCAAATACAAGCAAGTCAGTTCTCAGACACCTGTATATTGCCAAAAATGGCTTGTAAATCTAGCTACGTCAACTGTGCCGAGAACAACTCTTGTCAGGTAGGACGTTAGACTTGAGATGTGCTTTTGGAAACAGTAAAACTCAAGATCTGATCTTTAACTACATACCTCTGCCCTCACCATCCTTTTCCTCCCCACCTCTCCCTTGGCAAATAAAGACTGTAATAAAATAGCATATTGTCAGGATTCCCAATTATTTGCGCAGCTGAGCTCTACCCTAAACCTCTGTCACAGAAGAGAACTCTTAGTATAACTACCAGGTCTTCAGTGCCTCCCTGTCCCCGTCCCACCCCCACCACTGGCCTCACTCTCAGCTGATGGTTTTGCTTCCTACTTCTCTGAGAAAACGCAGTCACTACGAAGGGCATGTCCCCAAGTTCCCAACATCACATCGGTCGTTACGGGCATCTCCACATGCCCTCTCTTTCTTCCCTCCTCTTATTAAAAATGAATGCCCTGTGCTTCTACATCCTCTACTTGGAATCCCACCACCTCTTGCCTAATCAAGGAAAAGACTCCAGCAATTGTCTCTTTTCACTCCTTACTTTTCTCTACTGCATCCTCAGCAATTGTCTCTTTTCACTCCTTACTTTTCTCTACTGGATCCTTCCCTTTGGCACATGACCTTGCCATAATTTCTCTCAATTTAAAAATATTCTCTTGGGGCTTCCCTGGTGGTGCAGTGGATAAGAATCCACCTGCCAATGCAGGGGACACACGTTTGAGCCCTGGTCCAGGAAGATCCCACGTGCCGCGGATCAACTAAGCGCGTGCACCACAACTGCTGAGCCTGCGCTCCGGAGTCCACGAGCCACAAATACTGAGCCCGCGTGCCACAACTACTGAAGCCTGCATGCCTAGAGCCCGTGCTCCACAGCAAGAGAAGCCACCGCAGAGAGAAGCCCGCACACTGCAACGAAGAGTAGCCCCAGCTTGCCGCAACTAGAGGAAGCCCGCGGGCAGCAACAAAGACCCAACGCAGCCAAAAATAAACAAACAAATAAATAAATTTGTTTATTTATTAAAAAAAATAAAAATATTCTCTTGACTCCATGTGGCCCTCCAGCTTCCCTTTCAGCAGACCTTTGGAGTTCACGTACTTATTGTCTCCATCTCCTTTCCTGCATTCTTAAGAGCTTGAACCAATAAGTATTAGCCTTTCATTCTATTCTACTGTCCCACCAAACAACCCTCGTCAAGTTCACCAATAACCTCTATATTGCTAAATTCAACGGTCAGTTTTCTTAGCCCTGGTCTTAGTGGGCCAACTTAGCACAGCTGATCTCTCCCTCCTTCTTGAAACACTTTCCTCATTTGTCCTCAGGGAGATGGCTCTCCTGTTTCTCCCACCAGACTGACTGCCATCTCAGATTTTGCTACTGCCTCCTTCTCGTGTCAGTGACCTCTAAGTGGTCAAGTGTCCCAAGACTCAGTCCCTGGACCTCTTCTCTTTTTTATTCATAGCCACTTGCTATATTATGATCTTATTGAGTGTCATGATTTACATACTACCTATACACAATGAATTTCATTTATAAATCTCCAGTCTGGTCCATTCTCTGGACTCCAGGCTTGTATATCCCACTGTCTATGAGACATTTTCACTTAGATAACTAACTTAACTTTTCTAAAACCGAAAAGTTGATCCCATGCATCCCACACAAACCTGCTCTTCCTCCACTTCCCCATCACAATCAACAGCAACTCTGTCCTTCTCATTGATAAGGTTGGATATCTTGGAAGTCCTTCCCGACTCTTCTCTTATTCTCACACACCCTATGCTGGGCACAGCTGAGGGAAAGAGGGCAAATACTGAATCTGACAGTCAAAAGACTCAAGTTCCAGCTCTGTGCCCTGTTCCACCTTTGGAATCTCCCATAATTCATTTTCTCCGCCCATTCCAGGTCCTTCTCTACACTCTTCAGTTATTTTTTTATGAAAAATATTTTCACTGAGCTTCCTTTCTAGTAGTAAATAAACCCCACCTGCTCCAGAAGGCCTCAAGATTCTCTGACCAATTTTTTAAAAAATGACTGAATTCATTATATATTAGTCTAGGCGCTAAGTGCCTGGCAGATTTAGGTCAGGTCATTTAGATAGCAGCTAGGGTTTTATTATCCTTAAGCAATATAAAGCTTACAGTTCTTTCTTTCCAGACCTAACAGATTACCCGGTTTGTATAACAACGCCCAAAGGCTACAATTCTTCCCCTGAACCAATACTGGTTGGGCCTCTCCAAGTAAATATTCTGGCCCTCTGGCTTTTCTCTTGGCTTTTACATGTCTCCAGGAGGCCTGGAATCTGGGAAATACAGTTCTTCCATGTTTAAGGGTTAAATCCTTTATCTCTCTAGTAATGAGGGAAGTCTTAGGACCCTCCTGAGCCTCAGATTATTCCTTGGTAAAATTCTAGGATTGAGGCTGGTGAGTTCTAAAGGCACTTCAGCTTTTAAAAGGTGAAGCCTTTACATTCTGAGGCCCATCACTCAACAAGTGTACATAACAAGACAGAGTGAGAAAAGTAGACAGGAACTCCAGAGCAAGACAGCAGAGACACGGTGTCACTTGGAAGCTATACATAACCATGTGTACAGGTGCCTTAGTAGTTATTACTACTGCAGATGACTGGGTTCTAACAAGACCAGGAAGAAAGTTCAACCTCAACATACAGTCAGTTGTCCATATCCACAGATGCAAAACTCGCAGATACGAAGCGCCAACTGTAATTATTATACCTCACCGTTTTATATAAGGGACTTGAGCATCTGTAGATTTTGGTATCCTTGGGGGCTCCTTGGAACCAAGTGCCTGCAGATACTGAGGGATGACTATATAGCATCATGGCACTGTTCAGCAGTAGAAAAGCTCCTTCATCATTCTTCAATCCCACCTCCCAAATTAAAAATTATACATAGGGAATACAAATGAATTCAACACTTCCTAAGTGCAAGAGACAAATGGGTCTCTCAAGTAACCTTTAAAATAACAAATGTAAAACTGCTAACAAATGAGATAATGGATTAAAGAATCTAGCAAATCACATGGCATACTCCACATACGTAGATGTGTGGTAAATGCTCAATACACGTCCACTCGATTTTCTTCTTCCTTTGCTTCTTTTTTTTTTTTTTTTGCGGTACGCGGGCCTCTCACTGCTGTGGCCTCTCCCCTTGCGGAGCACAGGCTCTGGACGCGCAGGCCCAGCGGCCATGGCTCACGGGCCCAGCCGCTCCGCGGCATGTGGGATCTTCCCAGACCGGGTCACGAACCCGTGTCCCCTGCATCGGCAGGCAGACTCTCAACCACTGCGCCACCAGGGAAGCCCCCCTTTCCTTCTTTTGAGTGTCAACTTGCTAGAAAGAAAGACCTGATTTTAAGTACACATTTTTTCTTCAAAACTTAAAGAATATCGCTAAAGCAATAAATTTGTTCAACCCGAATGTGGTAGAATATAGTTCACCTTTATAAAACCAAGAGATTACTGACCTGAATTTAAGTCTCGTCCTGGATTGAAGGCCCGGCTATTAACAGTAGTAGACAGTCGATCACAACTAATTGTTCTAGATACATTGGTATTAAAGTTCCCATCAAATCTGAAACAATAGAAGAGAATTAGCAGTATTTATTTGGTGGTTATTCAATCCAGAAAACTAACCAACAAAAGTAATACTTCATACTGTGTACAAAATAGGTCAGCTCATAAACAGTAAAACTGCAATTTAAGTATTTTTAAAAAATCACTTCAGAGCAGTGTGGGTGAAACCAACATCAGCATCTAGAAGGTTTTAGAAATCAAGATCAATTCTAAGGAGATTTAAAAAAAAAATCCTTCAAGCCAACTTTTTCCCCAATGAACTTGATTCAGGTACTATTGATAAAATCATACAGAAAATAGATTTGACAAAATTCAGACTAGAATGACAAAAATTCAGACTTGAGCTCTGATGTGATACGTGAAACAATTCTTTAAATTATCCTGTCTGAAAACCAAAGGCCAAGAACAAAAATAGACAGTAGTGAAGGAGAAAGAATGGCTGTGGAGTAGGAAAGATCTAGATTTGAATCCTTGCTTTGTCACTATTAAATGCGTGAACTTGCACAAATTGTGCAATTTGTCTGAGCCCCAGGTTTCCTATCTGAAGAAAAAAAAAAGAAATAATAAAACATTTTCCAAAACTGTCAAAAAGATTGTAAATAATGTACCACAGTTCCGCTCATGATAAATGACACAGAGCTTGCACCTTCCAGGTTGTAATATAGATGAGGCCAAGGTCTTTCTTGATTTCCAGTGGGAGTGCAATGCTGGTACTAGAGCTAGAACAATGCTAGTGCTCTGGCTAGTAGCTGATCAATAAACCCTAGTGTAATCAGTGACTCATTTGCCAGGGCAAACAACAGTCTACAAGAAAATAATAAGAAAATGTACCGACTCATTTATATATAGTCACTAAGACTATTTTTAAGTGAATTTAATCCAGAAGTAAGGAAAGAGAAAAATCTTGAACCTCTAAATAAGCTATTTGGGATTGCAGATACTGAGCAGATTCATTAAGTTTCTAAGAGTTGCCTGCAAATAAACGCAATCTGAAGTTAGAGTTTTAAAAACTTGTGTTAAAATGTGTATCTTAGATGATAAATGTCATTAATGAAATTCCATTAACGCAGGTAGACAAGCTCTATAACCCTGGAGAAACACTCCTAAAAATCAAGGTCCACGTGATTATTCACATGAATATTGATTTTCTGGATCTTATATAAGAACTACTAAAATGAACTGATTGCATAAGCAAAGGGGCTAGGTATTCAAAGGGTGTGCTGGGTTCCAAAGCAAAAGTTCAACAGTTTTGTTTCGATACATATCATCTCAAAGGAGGTGGCGTTTTAAGGGATTTGAAGAGACTCTTTAGTCCAGCCTCTCACGCGGTACACAATTATATCAACATTGTCAACTGTGCTTCCAAGGACACAGTTGCTTCACCAGCGGGGCCACTCTTCCTTGGACCTGCTCCAGTTTGTCTAGACGAGAAGATTGCTGCCTCAAAAGCCACAGATGGAGAGAAAAGAGGAGATTAATACATCAGCAGCTGCCGGTGTGCATAAGCAACATAACCTCACTGTCCCTCTCTCGTTTTAGCATTTAACATCTGTGAAGCAAGAGTAGCATTAGACAAGGAACCCACTTGCCCTCCATGTGCTAGACAGCCACATTAAACCTATTCCATCACATACTTTTTAATAAAAGACAGATAATATTTCGGCTTTGTGGCCTACAAGGTCTCTGTCACAGCTACTAAACTCTGCCATTGTGGTGTGAAAGCAACCAAAGAGAATTTACAGACGAATAAATGTGGCTGTGTTCCAGTAAAACTCAATTTTCAAAAATAGGTGGTGTGCCAGACTGGTTTCACCACTCCTGATCTAGACCAGGGCAGTCCTAGAGAATTCTCTGAGATGATGAAAAGGTGTTATTTTTGTCCAATATGGCAGCCACTGTCCAATATGGCAGCCACATGTGGCTACTGAGCATTTGAAATGTGGCTAATGTAACAGAGATTAAATTTTCAATTTTGTTTAATCTTAATTTAAATGTAAACAGTCACCGAATAGTGGCCACCATATTGGACAATGCAGGTCTAGAAAGTTCTCCTGATTATCTGCCTAATTATCCTTCAAGTCTTTGTTCACTTATCACTTCCCCAGAAAGGTCTATTCTGATTGTGGGTGACTTCCTAGTCTATGTCAAGTGTCTCCATCTTCTCTCAAAGCAAGTGTCATAATTTTTAATTTATGGCTCCATTTGCATATGTTTTTTAAAATAAATTTATTTATTTATTTTTGGCTGCATTGGGTCTTCGTTGCTGCATGCGGGCTTTCTCTAGTTGCAGGGAGCAGGGGTTGCTCTTTGCAGTGCGCGGGCTTCCCATTGTGTTGGCTTCTCTTTGTTGCAGAGCACGGGCTCTAGGTGTGTGGGCTTCAGTAGTTGTGGCTCACGGGCTCTAGAGCGCAGGCTCAATAGGTGTGGCGCATGGGCTTAGTTGCTCTGTGGCATGTGGGATCTTCCTGGACCAGGGCTTGAACCCATGTCCCCTGCACTGACAGGCAGATTCTTAACCACTGTGCCACCAGGGAAGTCCCTGTGTATGTTTTTAATGGGTGGATTTTTATAGATCAGGCTATATGAACAGACAAGAGCCCCTTGAGAGCAGACCCCACGTCTTGTTGGTTTTATTCACCACTGTGCATACATAACACTTAGCATTGTTCTTGTCAAAAGCAGGCACTCATATTAACTGATCTTCTATGAACATCCATCGTGACAGTGCTTAGCCCTATTCTGGGCTTCCTCAGAAGCCTCCAGAGGTCCAACAAGTGAGGATCATGACTCAGATAAATGGTTCCTAATTACTGAAAGTCTAGCCATATCAGAATCATCTGGAAGCATGTTGGAATGCAGATTCCTGGGAATCCACCCTAGAAGAGTTTGATTTAGTGAGTCTGGGGTGGGGCCCTGGAATCAGACTTTGACAGTCTCTCCAGGGATGAGAAGCCCTCCAATCCTGTCATGCAGATTCCTTTAGAAATAAGGCAGTAGAACGGCTTTCCACGTGAGCAAGGTACTTCTCTGTATGCCTCAAACAGACCAAGGACAGAGGATCTTTCAATTTGAATCAAGAGAGCAGAGTAATTCTTAGGTATGCCTGAAACTCACATCTGGACTTTGCAGTACAAATTACAAACTTTTTTTAGACCTACCTATCTCACGGTTGAGGAAAGTGACACCAAGGAACACATAGCAAATCGGGGACCTAAGAGAGACTTGACCTTATCACCCAGCTCTCTGTCCAAGGATGAGCCACACACCACACTGTTTCATTTAAGTGACAAATAAGGAAGAACTTGTTAAAGGGGACAGGCAACTCAAGAGAGTTACTGACAACTTCTCCCAGAAGAAGTGTAAGCTCGAAGAGAGCCCCGTTCTCCATGGGTGGAGGCTCCACGGCCAGGACCTGGCCCATCAGCCCTACCCCTGGAGAAAGCTGAAGTCCAGCACCGAGCACATACAGACTGCCCAGTCCGTTGTGAAATAAGAGTTCGCTCCTGGGACCAGAGAGACCAGGGAACTATTTTATAGGTTGTTTTTCTTTTTGTACTGTATTGTTATAACAACATTTTTATAACAATAAAACTGAAAGTAACACATTAACAAGAGTAGGTGCTCAGTAAACATTTGTCGTCATAAAAGGTTTCACAATACAGTGCTGGTCATCAATAATCTGCCCAACCTTCTCTTCCCACTGTTTCCCAACCTATAGCTCTAACCAGACCAGTCCCTCAACAGATGTTTTTTCTGTTGGGTCCGAACTGTGATGCTCTCTGGTGTTCACTGTGCCCATTCTACAAAGCCCCCAGCTCTTCTCATCTTCCTTCCAGGAAGTCCTCTTGTCAGCCCCAGCCTGCGAGGAGCCCTCTCTCCTCTAAACTGACTAGTGCCACTCTGCATCTTAATTCATGCTTGTGTGTCTTTCCCCTAATTTTTAAATATTATTCTGTAATCAGGCTTAGCATAATGTCAACGCAGTTGATGTCTGACAGGTAGACTGGTTGGTTTTAGATTCTGCTTATATCAGCAAAATACTAATCAATAAAAATTCTAACATAAGATTTATTACAAATAATGAGAAAATTATCTTACTTATTTTGCCTTTCCCATATACTAAATAAAGGTGAAGTGAGGGGAGATGCCAAGATATTTTGTTATGGAAGGCTTATTGTCTAAACCCTACCATGTAGCATTTGAACTCCCAACTCTCTCTAAAACCTTGAGAAGTTCTTAGTTCTGCCAATGGATTGTAAGTTCCTTGAGGATTTATATTTCTCTCTCAGGTTTAGTGCATTCCTAGGAATGTATAGTTCTCCATAAGTTTTATTATTGGTGGCTGACTAACATGGAAGGGCAGAGAGCTAAGTCACTGGAAAGCTCTGTATATTTTATTAAATCATATTCATTGAACATCTATGATGAACAAGGAACTGCCACCCTGGCAAAGCATGGTCAGGAGCATGGCCTCAGAGGTACACAGACCTGGATTGGAGTTTGGGTTTAAATTGCTTATTGCTATCTAACTCTTGCATAGAACTTACATTTTCTAAGCCTCCATTTTTCTCATCTACAATATGGTGATAAAAATAGTACCTATTTCATAATCAGAAAACAGCTTGTAAGAGCCTAGTACATAGTAAACATTTAATAAATAATAATAACTAGTAATGGATGTATTAGTAATGATAACAGTTAACCGCTACTGTGTTGTGTGTGTGTGTGTGTATATATATATAATATCAAGAATATTCCAAGTGTTGTACATGGATCAACTCGTCTAATCTTCACAGGCCCAAGGGAAATATTATTATTATCTCCATTTGAAGACCAAGAAACTGAGGCACAGAACGGTTAAATTAAGAAGCTCAAATTTATAAGCAGCTCATGCAGCTCAATAACAAAAAAACAAACAACCCAATCCAAAAATGGGCAGGAGACCTAAATAGACATTTCTCCAAAGAAGATATACAGACTGCCAACAAACACATGAAA